TCCCCGCTCTCTCTGGCTCTCTCTCTCGCTCTCTCTCTCTCTCACACACACACACACACACACACACACACACACACACACACACATTTTAAAAAATCCTTCAGCAAGTGATAATCAGATGAAAACAAAATCCTTGTAAAGTACTTGTGTCCCATTCCGATCCTGCCATGTGCCATCAGGTAAGGATAAAGCAGCATCCCAGAAATGCCCTCAGAAACATCACAGGGTTTATGTGAGGAACCTTTTTTGGATGGGGGGGGGCACTAACCCACAGAAAAATCAGCTGGGGGCCACACACAAGAGAGAAGAAAAAAAACAACCCAAGCCCCTCACAGACACGGCCCCAGGCTGAGAAGGAAAAAGACACTCCCCACATTCTCCTCACATACCAGAGCCTAGGCAGTCTAGGCTAGTAGGCTTTGTGTGTTCCAGCCCTGCGGGAGCGAGGCACAGGAAGGCAGAGAGGCTGGAGCACCAGCGCAGGCTTCCAAATGCTGAGGGGGACCGCCAAGTCTTGGAGGCTAAATCCAGGGAAGCTGGGGGCTGCATCTGGCCTCCAGGCTGAAAGTTCCCCACCCCTGGTCTATATCATCTTGTCTCCTTGTGTTGGCATGATGTGTGCGTACATGATGCCATCCATCATTCCTGAGCCCAGCAGACCAGCAGCAGTATGCACAGATGTAGAATCCAACTGCCTGTACAAGGTTTGCAAACCAGAAGTGTCCTGAGTCCACTCCATGCAGAAATATTTGCATGTAGCCGCACAAGTGTTATGCAATGCACAGCAGGAAAAGATCATATGAACAGCATTGGCCACACTGGCATCCACATGGACTCATAGGTAAACATGCACCTCATGACCAACCTGTAACTATTGAACTTGTAATTGAATTCCTTTTTTCCAGACCCCGGACATTGGAATGCAGTTTCATAAACCATAATAGGACTGAGTTATCACAGATACACCATTTATAACAATATTCTTTTGGGGAAATAAAGACCAGTCTTTCCCTCTCAAGTACAAGCCAGATCACCTCACCCTGCTGTCATGAACCTTCCCCATGCTTTCCACTTCAACATTCCTAAACCTGCCTCTGTGGGCCACCAAACTGTGCATAATGATAATAGTATCCTTTGTAGTTCTTATACTTACTGGTCCCTTGGGGTGGCAAACTATGGGCACATGAGTGTCATCAATGTCCCAGTGCAGTTTGGAAACCCCATCTTCTGAAAATCAGATATTATTTCAGATGCCACTCATCCATGGGTAAGCCACATTGTTATTTAGCTCACAATTCTACACTCTCTTGAGCCCAACAGTAGACTTTCTAACTCCAAAATAGTTTACAATGAATTTGTAGCTTTCTGTTTCCTCATGAAATTCTGGAGCATCCTCAGTCAACAAAACTATGATCCCACCACACTCTATTTTTCTACGTCAATAAACTAAAGGGCTACGTCTACACTGGCCCCTTTTCCGAAAGGGGCATGCTAATTTTAAACTTCGTAATAGGGAAATCCGCGGGGGATTATTTAAATAAAGATGTCCGCCGCTTTTTTCCGGCTTGTAGAAAAGCCGGAAAAGAGCGTCTAGACTGGCCCGATCCTCCGGAATAAAGCCCTATTCCGGAGGATCTCTTATTCCTAATTTGAAGTAGGAATAAGAGATCCTCCGGAATAGGGCTTTATTCCGGAGGATCGGGCCAGTCTAGACGCTCTTTTCCGGCTTTTCTACAAGCCGGAAAAAAGCGGCGGACATCTTTATTTAAATATTTAAATATATTTAAATCCCCCGTGGATTTCCCTATTACGAAGTTTAAAATTAGCATGCCCCTTTCGGAAAAGGGGCCAGTGTAGACGTAGCCAAGGAGATTCTGTAGCTATTGCAGAATTCAACGTAAGTCCATTGTGCCAATTATGATCTGTCATCATCCCTCTAGGTCTGCTGCCTTTGACTTCTCAGAAATTGCTGTCAAATGTCATCCAACCACTTGGATGGATGACATTTGTCCCATTAGAGAAGGAGTAGCAGGACCAACGCATCCAATTATTCCATTACTGTGACTCATTTTTGCAGGGATAGACATAAGGGAAGCTCTGATCTGACTGCTATCAGTGCATGTGTGAAGGTGGGGCACAAATATTGTCCACATGTGGATCCACAAAGTATCAAAATAGTACCAACACTATACCCCAAACTGGTTCCTAGAGTGTCTCTGTGATGTAAAGAATAGTAGCGCTAAACTCACATTCTCAGAGCAGACGCGTGGATGTTGGTAGAAAACAAGTATACAGTGTTCTGTGCATGTGCAGCAAAGCAAATGTGTACTTTCAGGGCAGGTTTGGCTGGCTCACACCTGCATGAACAAAACTCAGTACTCAGATATAGACTCCAGTGAAGACAGAGCCAAAATGAACACATAGTATTGCATTTTCTTAGCTTTATAATTGTATGACAGCACATGCAACACAGTAAAATCTAAATGCTGTTTTCCATGGCTCAGAATCACTTGCAGTTAGGCATCCAATTCTGGCAGAGGCATTGTTATAATGGTAGTTCTTCTGACTAGACCAAATGGACCATTTCAAAGCCAAGTGTTCTTCCAAAAGGAAACCACACTACTGCTGAGAAGAGACAGATAGAACTGGGAGGAAAATTAGAAAGCAGTGCTTCACTGAACTATATCCATCACCAAGAATAAATATACTGTATATTCTAAAATATATGATGAAGCGGAAATGGATGGGCAGCTGATCATGGTGCTTGGCTGAATGTTCCAAGCTATAGTTTTGCATGCTAGGTGCCTTGCAAAAAGGGAATGTGGCATCCCATGCTGCAGCTGGGGTGGTGTTAAGCAGGCATTCACCATCTGGAGGTCATGAACGGGTGGGTGTCTGAGGGTAGTAACCACCCTGCCTTTCCCATATTAATAAATGGTAATAGGGAACCCTGGCTGGATCCTGACTAGATGGGAGAGAGGTCATCATATGGAAAATGTTGAGAACCACTATTCTTTAAAACATAATGGTGGATGTTTACAGCAGAATTAGTGAGCATTTTCTTCTCAGCAGAAATCTTAGAATATACTTGGAAATCCTCTTTCTGAGCCAAATTATAATAAGAGTTAACACCTAAAGTTATTGCAAGATTTAACTAATTTTACTCAAGAAAAACTCCGCTGTGAAATCAAACTTGGTAAAGGAATTTAAACTGCCAGAATGCAAGAGAATACAAAACCTCTAGGTGAGAAGCACCAGTCCATGGCTGCTGCAGCTGCAGCAGGCACAGCTGAGAGAGGAGTGCATGCCCTCCCGTTGGATGACAGACAAATAGACTCATAAACAGACAAACTCTAAAATATATAGTAGATAGCTGTCCCTTTCTCCACCTCTGCCCTGTGCTGGCCCTATGGGGTTATAGCTGTCCCGATCTCCATCTCTAGCAACCTTGCTGTCCCCCATGGTCTTTCTTCAGTATACCTGATCCCTCCCTTTCCATTTTATGAAAAACAACCAAATTCCAGACACATTCCATTGTCCTGGCACAAGCAAACTTTTATTTGGTTTTAAAGTTATGATTAGAAGAAACTGCCAAATCTGGGAGATGGAGCTCTTACCGTTAGAGGAGTTCTTGAACAAATGGATACAAGAACAGACAGACAAACAGATGCACATTTCTAAAATACATAGTAAGATTTTTTCACGAGAATTTCTCTCTTCTCTCTATTTGGGGTTTTTTGTTTGTTAATTAGTTTGTTTTTCATTTTCCCGCTCTGCCTGTTCTTTGGTCCACTCTCTTCTTATTTGTCAGCTGAGTTTTCCTCACAAATCCTTTCTGCTTTTTTTTTACTGAATATCTCCTAACCAGAAGATACTCCCAGGAATGTTAGAGTTGTAGCTGAACTTTCAAACTCATTATATTCAGGTGGGATAGAAATTAGGCAAACTGAATTCACCCATTTCTAATTAAAAGTTCCTTTGTGTATTTTATTTTTTAAAACTGAAAGCATATGTTAAAAAAACATGGTTACAGTGAAAGCCAGAAATCTAGTGGCACAAACAGGGTGTTCCCAGAGCCTGAACAGATTGTTCTTATACAGCACACAGTAGAAATTGGCTCCTTTAGGGGAGCCTTAGGAAATGTCTGCAGATAATGTATAGGATGCCATTGCCAGAACACTAACATTCCATTTACATCACAAAGGCCCATAAGTGAATTCTGATCCAACAAATAAACCTCCATGAATCCCATGAAAACTTGAAGACAACAGTTCCTAAACAGCCAATGTCTGGACAGCATTTCATGGAAAAGCCACAGAGATTAAATGATTTCAGCTCACTGAAAGAGAGTCTGTTTCCCTTGGCTACATTTTCAAACACACCATGTATGTATTATACTTTATATCACGGATTCACTTATGCTACATTTAAGCAGATTAAAACTTAATCTGTAAAAATCTGAAATATGATAGAATAAGGTACATTATGGCTCTTGTCAGGAAATATGGGGTCTTCTCCATACCTGATGAAGCCCTCAGGATCCTTCTACTTCCTCCCTTCATTCACCAATAAATGCCAGACCCCATTCAAAGGGTTATTTTTGAGGGACATGAATCTCACTTCCATGAAATCATTTTGTCCAGATTAGTCCAGTGCACTGAAGATCAAGAGACCAAGACTGAGGTCAGTCATGGCCTTGCACATGACAGTACAGAATGCTAATACAGTAAATGTTCTGTTATCTGGCATGTTGGGGGCATGGAAGGTACCAGTTAATTGAATATTTTGGTCAACTGAGAGAGTTATACTTTACCAATGGAATACCAATTTTCAAAGAATTAGAATATAACACAATGAATAAAGTATAAAATAATATGCAGGCACTCACCAGTCCAGTAGTAGTACTGCACTGCAAACTGATTGGTTTCTTGAAACACTTAGATGTATAGAGGTAAAGTTTTCTATATACAGCTTAGACCTCCCTGGTCTGGCACCCTCAGGACCTTCCCAGATGAGGGATTTTGCTGGAACAGGAGAGGTCATTTCTGGACCCTTGCTGCTGTTTCCCCACCCTTCTCCACTTACCAAGCTGCCTGACTCCCCCCTCAACCCAGCTGAGCTATGTGCCAGCTTCTCCTCACCCCTCCTGCTGCCCAGCTGAGCCATACGTCACCCCTTGCTGCATCATGCCAGGCTCCTAGCCCTCCCATTTCCTACAGCGCACCGGGACTTTCTGATCCTGGAACATCCGTGGTCCTTGCCAGACCAGAGAGTTCTGGTTTACTGAGGTGAAACCTGTAGCAGGTTTTCTTATTTCACTACAGATCACTGAGGGTCGCACCCGGCATACACCCAGATCACTAGAAATATACTTAACACTAAAACGGAACATCATTTAATTTGGGGGATTCAGAATGCACATCAGGATCTTGCAGTGCCTCAGGATCATCATTATCAACAATTATCATGTTAGATGTAAAAGGTGAGATTGGGCTCAATCTGTAATGACTCTGGAGTGACACAACCTGGAAAATGCTTTTTGAATAAATACCTGATATTGTTTATGTGTCTTCTGCCATTTTTGCCTAAAAGTAGCATGCAGAGTACACAATTGTATAACATGCTGGGCAGTACACAATCCTGGTTGCTAGGTTGAAGATTTGTATTGGGAGATCAGAAATGCCAATTAATTGAGCTTTTTGGTTAACTGTGTGCTGTATAACAGAGCATTTGTTGTACTGGTTCAGGCCCTTCCCTAGTGGGGTGCAGAGCCCGAAACAACCCACCTCTGCCACAGACCCCATCCTTGCCCTGCCTCTTCCCGTCCCCTTTTGCCCCTCTGTACCTCCACTCCATCACTTCTCTCAAACCCCATTCACCAAGCAATGCTTGAAGCCAGTGGAGTGGATCAGGATGGGGCCAAGTTGCTCCACTTCCTCCTACTGCCAATTAGAGTAGGGACAGGCCCATTCCAGGCTGCCCGTTAATCTCCCGACCACCTTAGGCCTCACACTTCCATATTCCCCTGAAGTGTAAGGGCCCCCAAAATGCAGGACTCAGTGCAGCTGCCCCGAGCTACCCTATGGACAGGACTGCTGTGACTGGGTTACTAGTCCAAAATGAATTTGTGACTTCGGAGTCATTCATATTTTCAGGAATAGGTGCCTAATTAGTGCACACAAAATAGGCCTGTAGAGAAGCACACGCGTAATTGCATGCGCACACAAATCCCTACTGGGAGTGGTGAGCACTGGTGGAGAATTCATTCAGGCAGCCATCAACACATGGAGGAGGTGGACTCGATGCCAGCTCCCAATGACCAATACAGATGTGTGCCTTGGGTTATGACAAGAACTAGTTGATGCAGAAGCCAGTGAGTCCACTGGATCTTACATAGTTCCAGTAGGATTGCACAGGGATTTGTGGACTACACCCTATTTTATGTAAATTCCATTTTCCCAAACCCCTGCTTATTTCTCTAGTTAAAGGGTGTTTACTTAGGCTTTGTGTAAGGAATATAAGTGGATTTAATCAATTAATGAATATTTTGCATGAGAGCATCAGGAGACTTTATATTCTAAACAAACAAAATCAATAAATAATTATATATTCTATTTTTGTTTCCTCAGAGTCTTCACCAACCAAGTCTAAGAATTCAACCATGATATTTTACCCAATACTTTGCTTAGACAGAAGAAGAAAGCTTAGCATGAGTAGATACTCTCACAGCTCTCTGCAGTAAAATCCAATCCCTCTGACACAGTGATCATTAACTCTGTACTGTAGTGATTCTATACAATAATTCTACAGTTATGATTAATCCATACTTACAGGCCCAGATTATATAAAACTGGTTTTTAAAGACACAGGTTATTTTAATAATTTTTCTCATGGTGCCACTAAGGGTCAGAGTTAAGGTTGTTCAGTGCCTTGAATTTGTGTTTCCATAAATTGAAATGTTTGACTTTCTTTTAACTTTAATCTTAGCTCTGAATTTCCAGAATTTGTAATGCTTGGTTTGAAGATAATTACAATATTGTAGCCAGACAGGAACCCCCTTGTAACATCCATTTTTGCTTGCCTGGAGCATACAGGGCACACAGAGCAGAAGGCCCAGGCTGGTGTGACCGTGAATGGCTGTAAACAGAGATACGCCAATTGCTGACCAAGAGGCTGCCAAGGAGTGCCCTTGACTGAAACCCATATTGATACGAACACACATCCATCCGCGGGGGGGAGGAATCTCTCGCCCAGTAAAAAAATGTCTAGTATACACAATTTAGTTATCTCTCTTGCAAGTGTAAATTAACTTGAAACTTGCTTGTAAGAACTGGCGCCACAAAACGGACCAGTAGAATTCGGCATCTTAGATAAGAAAGAGAATACGGGCCCCCAGGGGTATAAAGATAGGTCCAGCAGCGCATTTTCTCTGAGTGTCAATCTACCATCTATCTGCTGGTCAGGTTTGGTGTTTGATCTCCCGAGGTTCCAAGGGGACGCCCACCTCGTATTCGTCTTTCCTAGGAATTGAGAGACCAGCCCTGGCCTGACACGCTGGAGTCGAGAGGCACAGAAAGGGGTAAAAATTGTACCTGGATGTGGTCCTTTGTTTAAGTATATATATACATAGACTTAGAGCTCTTTAAAGATTAAGCTGTCACTTGGTACCATTATTTCTATTTTCTATCTTTATTTTCTTTGTAACCATTTTTAAAATCTGTATTTGTTAGCATTTAAGAAATAGAGCAATAGCCATTGTAACCATATGCTTTTATAAGTCTTTTAATAAACCTGTAACTGTTTAAGCTTTAACCTGACTCCTTCAGTTGCTGTAACAGAACCAAGCACAATTTTAAAAGAACTTCAGCCGGTCATAAAGGGACAGACATAGGGAGAGCTTGGGCGTTTGGATCTGTGTCACTCCCAGGTGACAAGATCCGTTGGGGCACCTTTCCAGCCTTTCCTAGGCTGCCCGCTGCAAAGGAACTTTGTGTTCTAGCAGCTAAAATCTAAGGTGTAATAAGATCTTCCTATATAACGGGGCGTCTGTTGGCCTGCTGGCCACCCTCTGCGATGGGACCCCGGTCCTAGCAGTAAAGACACGGACGTTAAACCTTTTCTCGGAAGCATACACACACACACTGCCCTGACCGTCGGCTGACAAATATCCTTAAAATGCTTTTGACTCTTAATTAATTGATGAGTACTCTCAACCTTAATTCCATTTTAACATATTTTTTCCTGGGAATAATAGCTAAAACTGGGGACTCTGGAGTCAGGAAACCTTGGCTCTTTTCCTGACTCTACCACTGATTGACTATGTGATCCTGAACATGTCATTCAGTAACTGGGGGATAACAACTATAATAATAGATCAGTTAGTTGTAATTGTACTGTATCATGATACATTCCCTATGATTAACTATGAAAAATGGTACTTAAAAAGGAACTTTTTATAAAAGCTCTAAAACCTTAATGTTATAAAAAGATCACAATTTACCAATTAAAAAAATACTCAATGTGTAGTTAGCTTTAGAATGAAAATATACCTTTAAACATATATTATACATAAACTTTATTAACAGTGCATTTGCTATCTAATTTTATAGTTTCTATTTTATATTTGCACTACAGATGCTCTATATTCCTTGTGCTAACTAATGCTAGTATTTTCAAAGTCTGTATACATTAAATATAGAGTTTTATAAATAATAAACCAATATATAATAATAATCCAGATTATTAATTCACACAATGGAAAATATTTTCTCAAGGCTTCCTCCTATAGTCAATGGAAGCTGAGAGTGATCAGCACTCTGTGTGAGCAAGCTACAGGTCCGGTGGTGATTTATTGGAATCCTAGAATTAGGACTGATCCCTGATTTCCTAAATAGGTTTTTTTTTTGTGTGTGGTTTTTTTAAAACAAAGGTGAGGCAAATGCATGGGGCTGAAGTGAAATACTCACCATTAAAGCAAATGGTGCTAGTTAGCATATGGAGCATCACTGCTAGTTAGCATATGGAGCATCACTCTTCATTCTAGATCTGAATGCAGGGCTTAAATTCTCATAAAGTATTTCAGACTTTCTGGCTACTATAAGGTGGGTGCATAACTGTCTGGATAACCATTCTCAGAGAGCTGGAAGGGCATAACAAGCGAGGTTTTGCAGGGGTCTGTTCTGGGACCAGTTCTGTACAATATCTTTATCACTGATTTAGATGATGGCATAGAGAGTATGATTATTAACTTTGCAGATGATACCAAGCTGGGAGGGGTTGCAAGTGCTTTGGAGGATAAGGTCCAAATTCAAAATGATCTGGACAAACTAGAGAAATGGTCTGAGGTAAACAGGATGAAGTTTAATAAGGGCAAAAACAAAGTACTCCACATAGAAAGAAACCGACCTGGGGCAGGGAGGGAATATGGGTGAAGGAGAGGATTCTGGCCAGGCTCATGAGCTGTCTGCACTGTATGGCTCTGCTCTGGGTATTGGGGGGAAGGGAGGGAGAATGCTTCACATGCTGCCCCCGCCCCCAGCAAAATTTCTCAGCTGCTATTGGTTGGAAACTGGCCAATGGGAGCTTAGAGCTTTTGCTGCTGCGTGGAACAGTGTGTGAAGCCTCCCTCCTCCCTGCCCAGCATTCAGAGCAGAGAGCAGCCAGCCTTTAGAGCAGCTACAGCTGCTCTCTTCCTAAGGGTCCCAGCAAGGCAGCTATGGGCCAGATATAGCAGCTTGACAGGCCGGATCCTGTGCGTTGGGCGCCTCTTACCCACCTCGCTTTTAGATACTTTAAAACTGTTATCATGTCCCCTCTCAGTCTTCTCTTCTCTAAACTAAACAAACCCACTTTTCAGTCTTCCTGCATAGGTCATGTTCTCTAGACTTTTAATCATTTTTGTTGCTCTTTTCTGGACCCTCTCCAGTTTCTCCAGGTTTCTCGAAATGTAGTACTCACAACTGCACATAGTCCTCCAACTGAGGCCTAATCAGCGCAAAATAGGGTATGTCTACACTACCCCGCTAGTTCGAACTAGCGGGGTAGTGTAGACATACCCTATTTTGCGCTGATTAGGCCTCAGTTGGAGGACTGTGTCCTGATGTGGGCACCACATTTCAAGGAATTGGTGGAAAATTTGGAGAAGTCCAGAGAAGTACAACAAAAATGATTAAAGGTCTAGAAAACATGAGCTATGAGGGTAGACTAAAAGAATTGGGCTTGTTTAGTTTAGAAAAGAGAAGACTAAGAGGGGACATGATAGCAGTTTTCAAGTATCTAAAAGGGTGTTATAAGGAGGAGGGAGAAAAATGGTTCTCGTTGGCCTCTGATGAAAGGACAAGAAGCAATGGGCTTAAATTGCAGCAAGGGAGATTTAGATTGAATATTAGGAAAAACTTCCTAACCGTCAGGGTGGTTAAGCACTGGAATAAATTGCCTAGGGAGGTTGTGGAATCTCCATCACTGGAGATATTTAAGAGCAGGTTGGATAGACATCTATCAGGGATGATGTAGACATTGGTCCTGTCGTGGGCAGGGGACTGGATTTGAAGATCTCTCGAGATCCCTGACCTAAAGCAAGGTCAAGGTTCGATTGCGCCAGGAAAATGGGAAGTACTGGGAATGGGGCTGTTTCCTTTAACATTGAAAGGGAGGAGCACAGAGAGGTGGGCCACTATACTGAGAGTGACCCCTGGGGCAGCAATTCTGCAGAGAAGAGCTATACTACAGAGAGACCACTGGGGGCAGCTGCACCACCAAGAGAGTGACTAGCACGGCTGAGGTTCTGCATCTTGCTTGCTATCAGACCTGGTAAGTAGGCTCTCTGCCCCAAGCCCCTCCTTTGGGGGGAGACAGAGGGCCTGTGCTGGCCAGGGTAGATGGGAAGGGGGAAGAGAAAGCCCTTGTTGGTCATGGAGGCTGGGAGAAAAGGCTTTGTCGGTTTGGGGAGGGCAGAGAAAGCCCCACCAAATAGAACCTTCTGCCCTGAGCTCCTCCTCACCCCCCCAAAGCTCACTCTCACACCCCACATGCCTCCAGTCTCCTGCCCTGCCCCCTACAACTCCAAGGCCCTGCCCTGATTTCTGCACACACACACTGCCAACCTCCTGCCCTGAAGGACTCGGGAAATGCCCAGTAAGTCTTCTAGTATTTTATAACTGATTAGACCAACCCCACCTGGAAGGGTGATGCTGAGGTAGCTCTGAGAGTAATTTGGTCCCAAAATGAGTTTGATTGAGTAAGAAAAGGGTTGGGTCTTTTTTGCTTTTCTATAAAAATAAATAAAGAGATCAGATGACATCTTAAAAAGGGCATGGACAGTTCTTCAGCATGATTTAATTAATGTATTTAATTCTATCAAAACATTCTGAAATATCCAAAAATTCAGATAAAACTTGAGTCTCCAAAATCTAATATATTTGCTTCTCATTTTAATCTCATTTAGTCTGAGAGAATTTTAAAAGCATTATTGCTTAAACATACTTATTTTTATCCCAGTGGAGCCATTTTGGCCTTTGGTTGTCTTTTATACCTTTCAGATTTATCATAGGACTCCGTATTTTCAGGAACCTAGTTATTGTCTTAATGCTCTAGTGACTGCAGCTGTCTACTCCAAAATAAAACAATAGTTGAAAGAGCCCTCTCAGACTCAGTATTAGAGCTCATTTGACAGTCTACAAACAAATTGAAGTACCATTTTCCATGTTGTGAAAATGGATATCAGTGAAAGATTTAAAATGTGGCCAGTCAGCTGGACACTACCACATTACATAGGACCCATTTGGCCTAAAAAGGCTTAAACCATGATCCAAAAACAATGTATAAAATACATCTGAGACCTGTTAAATGGGAACATGTGATATAAAATTGCTTCTCTTTTTAAAGGAGCTTATTCCTTTGTGAGCTATTACTTTAAAAGGGGTTAATTATATCTGCAGGTAGCTTTCAAAAATGAATGCCTATGGCTGACATTCGTTCTC